TTCCTGCTTGGAAGCGCTTCCCAGGAGCCGGGGCGTCAGTGTGAGTAAAGCCCCACGCTCTGTTTGGCGCAGGCTGGACCAAGTGTCCCTGCACGCGTGCCGGGAGGAGGTGACCAAGCTGGAGGATGAAGTCTACAAGGAAGCAGAGGAGAACGCGCTGCTGAAGGAGGCCCTGGAGAGGACGCAGGTCCAGCTGAACCAGGAGAAAAGGCTGAACCGGGCGGTGAAGCTGCGCCAGGTAGGGCGGCAGGAGTGAGGGAGCAGCACCCAGGGTGACGGGGACGAGGAGGGGAACGTTCTGGCTGTTTTCCTGCAGAGCCTCATCGAGGACAAGGAGAAGAGAAGCAAGAAGGAGCTTCCAGGGTGTGCCCATTCCCAAAAAGGCCGAGTTGGGAAGGTAGGAGCCCTCTCTGGGCCCTTCTTCGCAAGCATTGAACGTTGCAAGGCTCATTTGGAGGTCCCTGGTTTCCTGTTGCGCACTGTGTCCCACGCCTTTATATCCCGTGGCCCCACAGGCTCACCTCGGCTCACAGATCCGTGTGGGCCGACTGTATCCGACGTGCCCAATAGCCTGGAGCAGGAACGCAGTGTTTGCATTAGTGCCCGAGTGCCTTAAGAAGCAGGATCTGGAGCCAGATTGGCCTGATGTATTAGCAGGGAATTATAAAGGGGAGCTGCTGGATAACAAATCTGATTAAGGGCCTCGAGGAAGGGGCCGTGGGAGCAAGACGACACCAGTATCTGCTCCGGCTTCAGGCACTTGGCTTTGTGCAGGGGACGAAGCCACAGCCCAGGGCGAGGGCACGGTTCGCCTGCAGCCTGCTTGGGCAGAAAGGCTCCTGCAAGAGCACTTGGTGTCACTCCTCTCTGTTTGCAGCCCGCAGCCCCCAGGTTTTCACTTCCGGAGAAGCGGAAGATGAGGGACGGCACGGCCCTGCGTGCGCTGGGCACCGCGCAGACGAGGCCACGGCTTCGAGGGACCCCCTTTTTATACTGTCCCGGGAATAGGGATGCGTCTGTGAGTTGGATTTTCCTGCACTACCTGTGTCGTTGTGTGGGCTCGTTATGGAAATAAAGGAGGTGTTAATACGGCATAAATGTGTATGCCTGAAACAGTGGATTTTGCAAGTTGTGTCATTACCCCGTGAACAGGGTGCGGTCACCTGCGACTGCTTCAGTCCTGTGTCTTATTGCAACGAGCTGGGCTCCCGGTACCGGGATGCTGCAGCCCTTCCCATCAGGCTCCCAGTACTGGGATGCTGCAGCTCTCCCCATCAGGCTCCCAGTACTGGGATACTGCAGCCCTTCCCATCAGGCTCCCAGTACTGGGATGCTGCAGCCCTCCCTATTAGGCTCCCGGTACCAGGATGCTGCAGCTCTCTCCACCCAGCTCTGGGTACCGGGATGCTGCATCTCTCCCCATGAGGCTCTCAGTACCGGGATGCTGCAGGTCTTTCTGGGCCGTTTCAGGCAACCGGTACTGGGATGCTGCATCTCTCCCCATGAGGC